GGGGTGGGGGGGGGGGTTTGCGTAATGTTCGCAGTCTATTTTAAGGCACCACACAAATATACGTAGAAGGGTTCAAGAAACCCATAAAACATGGTATTTCGTGTCTGTACTGAGCTGCTGTGCGCACCTTAAATCAAATGGGTTTTTACTTAGAAATAACTGATCATATTTAAGCTAAATTATATGTATTCTGAAAGATTAGAAGATTAAAAATTCGAACTCTTCGCCAAATATTGATGGTAAATCAAAACAAAAAAGTGATATGGAGTTCCCATGTTACGAACTACGTAACTTCAAAGTTTTCAGTCACCTATATTAGTAGTACCGTCATATGACGCCTGATGGTAGTAGTACACGTAAAAGGGAGCGTGTTGTCACTTAGAGTCATTAATAAGAATTTTTATATTTCTGTAACAGAAACAGAAATGCATCAAAGCAGGCAAACAACAAAGTGCCACAAAGACCCCACAGCAACTGAAGCGACAATCCTACAATTTAATATTAGGTGCCAAACCGGTCTGATGAAGCAAATAGCTAACTGGTTTGTTAAAACGTGATTAACAATAACATGGTCGAGTCGCGTCCTTTCCTGTAGGTAAAGCGTGGCCGAGGCGTGAGGCTGACCACTCACCCCGATCTAGTGTCCAGGTTAAGAATGTGTAGGAGCTATACCTCCACCTCCCCCCAGCGCCTACATGGCGTATGGTGGTCCAGCTTCTTTTTTATGGGAACGAGTGAGAAAACTAGGTAACATTGACAACAGAACCCTGAAGAACATTAAGAAACGTTACGGACAACTGTAATATGTGCCGCTGTTACACTGAGAATCTAATATACATCAGCCCTCTCATATCCCTTAGGCATGTCTGGAACAAACTGGACAGTTTGACCTCTCGTAGCCCGCTCAGACGCGTCTAGAAAAAATGCATTTATAATGTTAAATAAAGCTAATTCATCGCTACTTCTGTCGTCATCTGCAACACTTTCCTTATTATCACCATTCTTTCAATTAGCACTTACTTTTCACACTCAGATGATATCAGTTCGCCGTAAAATGGCGACTGAAACAAGGCACAGGTGACTTAAGGTATCCCTTTCTTGTTCTTTGTTTCTAGTCTCTATCTCTCATCTTTCTATCCAGTTCGTATTTTCTTCGATATCATTTCAAATAGAAGCTAGTCTATAATCACGAAGTCACTTGTTATGCAATTTCCTTCATGTATGATTTACATAATAACTTCGCTGGCTTCACGCGTTACATTTACGAGTTGTGAACAAAGCACTTTTGCTTAAGAACAAAATGCCTGATGGCGTACACACTTCGCAGCTAGTAATTTTAAAACACCAGACATCAAAGTGTGATTCGCACGCCACTGTTAGGTCTCAATACAAGTTTCTATATGCCTCATCTGTCCCAAGATGTTA